AACCCCGTTTGTCAAAGACCAATTAAATTCATCGAGGTGATGAAAATTTTTAGAATCGGAAAATTCTCGAGGCGAACGATATCAAGATTAAATTAGATTTAACAGTAGGTACTGACATAAAAAAAAAGAATTATACAATAGGCATGAATCAGTTAATTTGACCTTGCCTCTTTTTTCTCAAAATCGGATGACCAAATGAAGGCACAAACAAAGCGTTGAACTTCCTTGGAGTAATCGGGTCAGACTTGAAACAAGGGCAACCATTAATTTCACTGACAAAGAGAAACGAGAAAGCCAAACGAGAAGAGACAAAGTGTTTATTCGAGAGTTTCCGCTTTCGGGCGCACTGGGAATTTTCGTCGGCGTCCGTTTGTCCGGAAACTATTGGTTCCTCCCGGAACTTTCTCATTAAACTTGCCTGTAGCCTCCCGTTAATTATCTCAATGACTTTCCTTTTTTTTCCTCACACACCATTCGATTCGAATTCCCTCCCCCGCCTCAGAAAGCTAATTTCTATATGACAGTTTTTAATTTTCTGATCAATCGCCGAGACGTTATTGCAAACCGGTGCTCGTAATTATCCTTGGGAGTCTCAAAGATTGCCAATTGAACATCGAATAGACATTGTTCTTTTTATCGGCATTGTTTTTCCCCGTTTCTCTTAATGTCCTTGGAATCTCGCGCTCCTTCCCTTAAAACATTATGAGATTTTTTATATGAATTTTCCGTCCAGTGACATTATTGGAATCATTAAAAGAAAAAGGGGATTGGATTCCTTTTTCATAATAGTAATAAAGTGAGTACTGATATATAGTTGAAACTTTAGTTTAATATTCGGAATTGAATTTACGGTAATCTTTGTTACAAGAGAATCCTTCTCTTGGAATCTAAACTATATTGATCCAAGTCTTCACCTGGATAGCAGATACCAAATACGGTCATCTGTGTTTTGTCACAGATGACCCTTCTACTGGGGCCCTCACCTGTCCGATACAGAAGTTAAAATTTAAATCAATAAATCTTCTTGGACCCAAAATGGAATAAAAGTGGGTAGTGTGACGTATCCCTTGAAAAAGAAAGATCCCTTGCCGAATTTGCTAGTCCAGGAAACGTCTTCAACTTAACTAGTCCGCAAGTCACCACCAAATCAACTTCGCGCCTTCTTAGTGTCAGTCCAGAAACCGCGATCAAGTTAACTAGTTGTGTATTGTCATCGACTCCAGTCAGGAAAATCTCTTCAACACTTTATTACGTCGACATCAACGTAAAATCAATAATTCAGTCACTCCTAGGCTGAGAGATGTTTTATCTAATTTACATCGACACCTGGACCCCGAACCATTCACTTTGGCTGACCCGAAAACAATTCGAGGGAAATCTACTGCTAGATTTCGAGGGAAATCTGTTTCCGCTAGACAACGTCATTTCTTCGCCCTCACACTGAAGGACGTATCGCTTATTGGGTCTACATCTCTAAGAATAATTTTAAAAAGCAGTTACTAATACTTTTAGAATTTTGTCCCCATTTAAATTCTCGAATGATCCCACAAAGTTATAATTTTGTTTCAGTATCCCTGAAGACATCTGGATCTACTCTTTCTCTCCGATTCTAATTGTAAAGGATTCAAATAAAACTTTAATAATTTAACTTCAATTTAACAGTTACTCTTTCTTAAAACCTGACCCCTAATATCAGAGCCTTCCACTCTGAATAAATCAGGTTTGAATTATCAATGCCGGACCCTTTCACATCGTCCACTAAACCTTATCGTCCAATTTAAAAACCCCAGAAGAATAATGTAATTTGGAAATAAATTATGTTCAATTCTGAAACTAATTTAACCCTCTCCTGATGCTAACTTATTTCTACTTTATCGCCATAGAAAGTAACTCCCATAGTTCATCAGGCATCAAAAATTTCATTAATTCTGTAATAACTTTGAACAGTTATTGAATATTGAAAAGTCAAAATAAACTATCGTTGATTAACTGTAATCTACAATCGAGGTAGATATTTCAAATGGTTATCTGTTTTTTTTATTAAAAACCGTTATTTTATTTTTTTGCGGAACAATAAATCGTCATTCATCGATAGAGCGTAAAAGAAATAAAAGAAAAATCTTTCGTACCTCTCAAATTCGCAATTTTTTCATTCCCCCAAGTTTTTCTTTTCTGTCTCTATCTCCTTCGCGTGTATTATGACGCAATAACATTTCGCGGTTGCGGGTCTACAGGAAAAAGTTTTCACGAGGCTCTCGGGAAACGTTCGTGTGTGCGGCGGCAATGTAACCGGAAGCGTTGAGATTTTCATTTTATGAGCCAACGCGACGAGACTCTCTCTTTTCTATTTTTTTCCCCGTCCGACATTATATTCGTCAAACCCCCTTCAAAAAGCTGTATTGACTATATGGAGAATTCGACTGTGCGAATAAACTTTCGCATGTTATGTGCTTAAAGAAGCGGATTGAGGAGGGTGAGACGTTTCCCGTCGAAGAATTTAAGGGGCCGATTTTGCGAGTATAAGCAGAGGGAGAGAAAATAAATTCAATAGAGGAATGAAGGAATTGGGCGGTTCCCCAATCGTACATGAGAAATTGTCGAGCTTTAAATTCTAGTTGGATTAGCGGAATTTAAAGCACGATTTCATTTAATCGAATATCTATAAAAGAGATTTTGAAATTCAACACAACTTTGTTTGGCACAAAAGAAAAAATTTTCGAATTCAATTTTTAGAGAAAAATTTGAGTACTAATAATAATTCAATGTTCAGTTTAACGATTGATTGTTCAAATGGAAAATGATTAATCTCCAAAGCTACCGCCCTAAACATTAATTTTAGGTAATTAAATTTCAAGCTTAGAGTGAAAGGGCTCGAAATTTCGTTGTCTTGAGTACTAAGACCCGTGAAACTAGATGCTATAATAACCAGAACAGAAAGCGTCCAGGGCCAAACTCCAATCATCATTATCAAAGCCGAAGCATAGCGTGGGCGTATAGATCCAGCCGAGAGCGGTTTCGACGAACCACGCTTGGTCCAAATACTACAGAACTGAAGCCGCATAGGGATAATGCCTGTTCCTCAAACCTCAATACTGGACGGACGTTAACGTAACTGCATCGAGTAAATGCATCTTAGCTAATGGTTCCTTTCCTCTATCGACAACCCAATCACAAACATAATTCTCGCACTGATTGTAAATCAAAATCGACATAATTGTTCCATTATGGTTTAATTTTCACTCTTCCCCGTATTGAAATTGTCATAAAATGGCATGAAACACCTTCCCAGGTCGGGGACAGATCTGGCCCCTATCTGGAAAGGTGTTTCATGAAGTTTTATTTGAATCCTTTACAATTAGAATCAGAGGGAAAGAGTAGATCCAGATGTCTTCAGGAATACTGAAACAAAATTATAACTTTGTGGGATCAATCAAGAATTTAAATGGGGACAAAATTTAAAAGTATTAGTATTAGGTCGAAGAAATGACGTTGACTAGCGGAAACAGAGAATGCAGTAGATTTCCCTCGAATTGTTTTCGGGCCAACCAAAGTGAATGGCCCGGAGTCCAGGTGTCGAATTATTGATTTGACGTTGATGTCGAGGTAATGCAGTCTTGAAGAGATTTCCCAGACTGGAGTCGAAGAATAAACTCGATGACAGTACACAACTAACTAGTTGGTAACTTGGTCGGGACATATTTTTATTCTTGAGAAAAGAGAAATAGGTTCGCGAAAGGAAAGGGAAAAAAATTCGTTACCACATAAATTAAATTACCCCGAACAAAATAAATTTTACTACCTTACCTAAATTCCAAAAATAAGAGACTAAGAAACTCCAGTAAAAATGGTGTATTTGCATAATTTGAATTTAAGTCGTCTTAAGTAAATATAAACCCGTCGCGAGACAATCATCACGAACTAATTATCTGATTCTCCCTTCCCCCAACATGTTTTGTTGCCGTCAGCTCCCTTGAGGAATTGGTCTTGAGAGAGTCACGTAAACGACATAAAATGCGCAAACGGATTAAACCTATAAACTTCGTGACACATTAAAATTGTTCATCTAAAATAAAAGATACACGAAGGTGGAATTTTTAGAAAAACATTTTCCAACCGCTTCACCGAATTTTTTTATTATTATTTTCTTTTTCGAAATGGTTCTTTTTTTCCTCATGAACAAAAAATGTATATACACTGTGATGAGATGTATGAACCTTGTGGTGGTATGTGAGTTGTTAGTCAAAATTCATTTTCGTCAGTTTATGGCGTTCAATAAATTAGATAACTTTACCTTTTCTTCCTGCGCTGTGATTTTTTTACGACACCCATAACTTTACTTCGAAAAGCCACTTATTTTTATCAACCAATCTTGATTCTCCCACCAATTTCATAGACTCCCTTTTCACATACGATATCTTGATCTTGTGAATATTACTTTTTAAACTCTATCTTACTAAAAATAGAATCGAGAATAGAATTCAATTATTTTTGTGCAAAAAAAAAGGAGAAGAATTTAATATCCCCGGGAATATTTTTTTCCATCAATTTTTATACTCAATAATAAATCGAAAATATAAAACATAAAATAAATGAATGAAATTTTTAAATGAAATTTTTTTATCAATTAGTAGTTAACGGTTAATGGCAATATTTGTCAATTGAGAGAGGTACTTTGAGGGAAGGCTTGAGGATATATTGAGGCGATGAATAGCAACGTTGGTAGGAGTTTGAAATCGGTCCCGTTAAATGGATTCGACGACGCGAAACGGGCGTTTAATTCCACGAATCAGTCTGGAATTTCGTGACCAGGCAAGTCACAAGGACTCTTTGGATGCCGCATTTCCCTCGGGAGGTCACACGCTTCCAAAACGACCCCGAGAACGTTTCCCCGCTTCTCTCGCTTCAAGATAGAAATTGGTCGACGTGTGAATAGCGAGCATTCTATTGATTGCATTTTTTTTTCCTCCAAACTCTATTGATAGGACATAAATCAAACTCACCGTAAAACGACGTTCCTTCTCTATCAAATGATCGACAGTTTTCAATCTAATGGAGGCTTTTTAAAAGTCCAAGAAGTCAGGAAATATTATTTTTCGCACTTTATTCACATTTTGTTTCCTCGATTGATTTCATCCAACTGTAACAGAAAATAGTTTAAAAATTAGAAGAGAGTCGAAAAAATCGAAAATTACTAAAAATTAGTTCGTCAGACTAAAAATAGTTTTCATTGTTAGGTTTATAAAAATAAGGGAAGTGGGATAATGGGAGAAAATGGAAAAGAAGCAACAGCTGTAAATTTTCCTGGCTGAATACTGAGAGTAGGAGAAATAGTTAAATTCCTTGAATCCTCTCATTTCCTTGGAAGATTGTTCCTTATGTCTAAGTACTAACTATTTTCTCCTCTCTAGTCGATGTTGGCTCTGAAAACACGCGTCCTTATGGCAAAAGGATTGAGGCTTCGAAACGAAGCCACACTAATTAATCCCCCTCTGAAATACAGTCTCACTGGTTTGATGTAATTTGAATTGTATAACGACAGTCAACGAATAAGCAACTGCAAACCATTTCACGAGAAATTACACACTCTCGAGTTATCTTCACAGATCTTAATCTTGTGTGCAGTGCAATCGAAAACTGTCACAATGTTTATGCCAAAAAGAAGAGTAAATATTTAGAAAAAAATAAATATTTAACAGGATAATGAAACTTGTTGACTGGAGTATAACTTCAGACAACAGACAACATTCTATTAATGACTTTTCGAAATAATTCAACTCTTTTCGATCATTCACGATCCGTTAAGAAACAATCGTCCCATTACTCCCTGCAGTGGGGAAACTAAATTATTTTAGTTTCACATCATGATCATAGATTCGCTCCGAAAGTTCGTCGAATCTATATAATTCATCCCAGAATAAACCAACGTGTCGGGGAGTTTAGTTCGAAAAGTTGTTCTCTGTTTTAGATTATTAACTCTGTTAAACACTATCACAAATGCATCAAAATTGTTCCAATTTTCACAATATTTACGATCAAGCATTTTTTTCCTAAAAGGAAATGGTTTCAAACAGAAATCTCTTATTAAAACACGAAATCTCTTATTGAAACACTACTTTATTCAGAAACATTTCGATATAAAATAGTTTCAATACAGGCCAATACAATTGTTGAAGAAAATAATTCCAAACAGAAATATTTTCTATTCACATAGAAAAAAGAATGAAAGACGTAGAAAAAAATACAATACAAAAAAATAAAGACAACACAATTTAATGAAAAGAAAGTCGTTAACGAACTGCAGAACCTTCTTTTGAAGTAATTTTTCTCATTTAACAAGATCAGAGAGGATCAGAATATAAGGAGCAATTTATTCCAGTAGAAAAAACTTGAGTGTGAAGCTCTAAAAGCTCTGAGTAAAATAGATCCAATAAACTTATTATGACTGGCATTCTCATAAAATATGAAACCCGATTTAAAGGCATTTATAAAATAAAAAGATCTATGCTTAAAGGGTATAAGGTTAAAATTTATGACATTTTCATTAGCTGTCTAGTACATAAGCAAGCTGATCCCTTCGTCCCAACACGTAACACGCGCACAGAGGAACGGATATAATAAACATGACAGATCGTAAAAAAAATAAATTATGCTGTAATGTATTCCTCAACACGGAAACATGAATTATTTATCAACTTACTGTATACACTTTCAGGTATTTTAGTTCCTAATTTTAGAGAAAGACGTCGACTTTTGTTTTTAGTGTAAATAGTTCAGTTTTTTTTCGTTCATTAAATTCCCGCGTGGAAAGAATGGTGAAACATGGGAAGAAAAAAATTATTTTTTTCTGCATCCCACTGTTCGCCATACTTTGCCCATAGTTTGAAAATTGAAAAAATTCAGATCAATTCGTTAGAATTTATGAATTTAGCAATTTTTTCTCGATTAAAACAAAGGAATTAAGATGAATACACAAAATTGTGAAAGAAAAAAAATGTTGTGTGAGAATTAGATTACATTGGAGATTAGATGGATCTCTGATTAATAACACCCTCCACATGTCATGGCCCTTGGTGACCTTGTCAAACACACACTGGTGATATGTCGCTGTACTGCCGAACGTGTGATTTCAGGCACAACAAATGTTCAGTTTGACCTACATCAGATTGTATGGCACCTTCGAAATTGACCATAACACAAATGGAAAAACGATGTTAGGACTAGAGGAAAATTGTAAAAGTGTATTTTTAATAAAACAAATCCTTTATTTACAAATTTTTTTTAGAAAATATCTAATAAATTTACAAGGCTTATAAAAATGTCTAATCCTTAAATTCTAAGAGAAAAGAGATCACTTTCTAAACGTAAGTTTTTGCTGCATATTCGCCAAAAACTTTGATAGCTTCAAACGTTTCAACGCCAACTGGTAGAATTTGAGATCGTGGGGTAACGAAAGATTTGCCTGGCAATTCAACGGTATAAGATAAATCAGCTCCTCCAACAGCCATGACCCAGTCATCACTTCCTCCAGCTGCTGGATCTTCAAATTGAAACAAAAAAAAAAATTAGTAAAACAAAACAAATCAAAAATTCTAAATTCTAAACTATTTAGAGCTTGAGAATTATTTTGAGTCGTACACAGAGAAAAAAGAATTGTTAATATACACACTAAAAAAAAGTCTTAATTTCAGACTCTTTTTGAGGCTGAAACTGAATTTAAGGTGTAAACGGAGTCAGCCCCGTTAAACATTTTTTGTCACCTCAACAGATTTATTGTTGTTAGTAAAAAATTTGAATTGTTAGGACAACAAAATAAATTTGTTAGACTTCTATATTAACAATTTTTTTGTCAACGTAACAATCCTTTTTCTCCGTGTAACAAATATTAAATAGTATAAATCGTTGATTGAAAGAAAATACAAAAGGAAAAAAAGTATTTTTACAACAAGTACAAGTATTTTTAACTTACATAAAACATTAGTGGAACTTCCAATTTTGTAATGAGTGCCACGAATGGCCGACAAAGCTTTTTCAGCTTTTTGCGCCACTAATTTCTGTTCGGGGAAAAAAGTTTTAATTACGAAAATTATCAGAAGAAAAGGAACAAAATTATTGTTCATATGGAACATTCCTGTGCGGAATTTGCATAGAAAAATTAATATTTTTCTACAACAATATTTTTTCGAATTCAATATGAAAAATAAGAAAATACGTATATTTTTATTTTGTCATTGAACGAAAAGTGTGGAATTTGCGCTTTTTTAAATTCAACTACTTCAAAAGTCCTCGGCTTTTTTCTAACACGTTTTTCTCTAACATTTACTGTTAAAAAATGTTTTATGAAATTTATTCGATATTTATTTTCATGAATTTTTTTAGATATTCAATAAAAAATAACATAACTACAACAAAATTTCATATGGGACATTTTTTATCCACTAAAAATGTGAGAAAAACGTGTTTCAAAAGTCATCGGCTTTCGAAGAAGTCGAATTTAAAAAAAGCACAGATTCCACAATTTTCATTCAAAAACGAAATAAAAAATACCTGTTTTCATATTTTTCGCATATAATTCGATAAAAATAGTTCCAGAAAAAAAATATTTTCAATGTAAATTTCACCTGGAATGACTCATAAGTAAAATTACTTACAAGTGTTGGTTCATTTTCTGGTAAACTTGAAGTATATCCCCATGGATGCAACATGTACTGTAAAAATTTATCAATTGTTAATTCCAAATATTTTCTTTCTAATTTTTTGAAATTATTATTTTCAGTCAGAAATTAAAAATATCAAACGAATTACCTGTCCATAACAATGGAATGTCAAATAAATTTTAATGTCTCCCTTCTTTGATAAGACAAAATCACGTACATTCTGAGTTTCAATTTCGGAAAATGGTGTCTTTCCGGCAAACGTATCAGAGCATGGATTACTGGAAGCTCCAACTTCTACAGGAGAAACAAATTTCAAAGGTAGAAAAAAAAGTCTTTAATACTTGAAAATCAGTTTTAATGGTGACAAAAGAAAATTGGAAATTCCCGATAAAAAAAGTAGACTCTGAAACTTATCTACTTTTTTCGGAAAAAGCATCGAAATTTTAGTTTAAAACGGGAAAAAATTTAAGAAAAACTTAAGAAAACTTAACTTAACACCCCTTAAGTTTCTCCAAAATAAAAATCTTAACTTAAAGAACTAAAAATTCCGGTAGGTAAAAAAATTGGTAAAATTCTATTTAGGTAAAATTTAATATCACGTACCCATCCATTTATAACCGAAATTTCTGTTTCCATCAACACCCGGACATCCTTTAGAGGCACTTGTAGATCTTGTTTTACGCCACAAACGATGCTGGAATAAAATAAAAATTTTGGTACTGGAAAATAATTTACAAAAATTATTTAAAATTTTTTTTCTTTACTTACATCAGTATGTGAATATTCATAACCATCGGGATTTATTTGAGGAAGAATGTACCAATCAACATTCTCATAAAGATGTTTATTGGTAGCATTTGCAAGTTGAGAAATAACATAAAGAGCAGTGGTGGGGGCGATCCATTCTCTGGCATGGATTCCAGCATCGATGAAAATGGCGGGTTTCTTCTTATCACCACCACTTGAAATTTTAACACCTAACATTTCACGTTTTTGATTACTCTTACCAATATTTATCAGCGAAATGTGTTCATTATTGTTCGAAACATCCGTCAAGTAGTTGTTTATCTGCGAAGAACAAAATTGGGTTTTTTTTATTTATAGACAGAATTATTTTAAACAAAAATTTATTATTAATTGTTAACCCTCTGCTAAATTTCTTAACCCTTCAATTTCTTTCTATTTTTGATAAAAAAAACATTAGTTTTTTCACTTTTCACAACTTTATAATAAAATTCATAGTCACCTCTTCATGACGAGGGAAGAAAGTAAAATCAAAAGATTTTGAAAATCCATCAAAGAATTTCATTCTCGCAGTTCTTTGTGATTGAGATTCCTCATCGATCAATCTTTGAAAATCGTCTATTACAACATGATAGGAAATATTTTCGTCATCAAGTGCCCTTTTAAAGAAAAGCGCTTGTTGAGCTGAAACTAAAACATGAACATTGTCCTCGGGAAGGCGAGTAACTTTCATAAAATCGAAACCTGGAACTCCTTTATACTGAAGCACAAAATCTAACTTTTCCTGATTATCGCACGTAATCCAAAGTGCCTCGGTTCTGCATAAAATTAATTATATTAGAGAAAATTCACCATTATGAGTTATAAATAAACTTGAAGTTTGAAAATAATATTCAAAATAAAATAAAATTATTCAAAAAAAAATATATATAAAAATCTCAATCGAGATAATTTTATTGAATTTTATATTGTTTAGAAGGAGGGGAAAAATTATTATCTTTGATTATTACTTACCCCTTGTAGAGAGAAGAATGAACATTACGTGCACTCGCGAATGCCACAAGGGCAAAAATTAATACGCTCCGAATAAACATTTTCTTCACACAATATCACTCACGGAAGATGCTCTCAATTTTATATATTTTCTTATCTACTTCACCGATAATATATATCGATCACTTATTAGACAGAACTTTTTTTTATCGAATTATTTTTGAAGATGTTTGTTTTGATTCTTTTTTATCGAATTCCATATCTCTTCTATTTTATTTAGGAGGCAGTTTGGAAAAACATTTCTCAACTCACACGTGGGAATAAACACAAACCGGAATTCGTTTTCTTAAAGGCAAAACTTTTAAGACTTTAAAATTAAACTTTAAATTTTTAATTAAAATTTTTTAATTTAAATTTATAACTTGAAATTTAAATTTGAATTTAAAAATTTGAATTCCAAGTTTTAAACTTAAATTTCAATTTTAAAAAAAAATCCAATTTTTAAACTTAAATTTCAAGTTTTAAACTTAAAAATTAAAATTAAAAAACTAAAATTAATTTATCAGGACAATAAAAGTTTAGTTTGGGAATTTTTATTTCAAACTTCAAAAATTAAGAAAAAAAAAAATTTTCTTTAACAGAAACAATGAACCTTATCAGTTATAAATAAATAATATTGCAGAAAAATATTAATTTTAAAACGAGAATTTAAATTAAATCAAGACGTTTGCTTTGATTAATATCTTATCGATGAATAAGTAATCAATATCTATATTTATCAATAGCAATTTATTTAATCGAAAGTATGCAATTACTGCGTACGTAATTAAATATAAATTCAAGTACAAGATGGTATAATTTAAAAATTTTTAATTACTCCACCCAAAGGAAAAAATTGTTTAGGAAATATTATTATTTACAATTTAATGTCAAATTTTGCTCAAGTCATTTATCGTATAATTTTTCTTATCGTAAAATGAGATAATCTTACGATTTGTTCTTTTATCAATATAGTTTCCTGTTTAACTAAATTTCATGAATCAATATAGTGAAATAATTTTTAAGCAAAATTTCAAACATTTATATTTTACAAAATTAATTAATTATAGTAATTATAATTTTTCCATAAGAATTAAGATTTTAAAAAATTTTTAATTCAAACCTTTTTGAAAATAAAAAAAATTATAAAAAATTGTTATAAAACATGAAGAAATTGATCACTCCGAGTCTTCGACTCGGAGCAATCGATATCTTCATGTTTTATAATAATTAAAAATGGCCCAGTGATAAAATCATTATTTTATATTATAAAAATATTGTTACTGCAACTTCTTCAAAATTATTTCCATCATTTCAATTCATTTCTTATTTTCTAGAATTTTTAACTAAAATTCTTCTTTAAATCAATTCTTTTCAATAATTTTTGAAAAAGTTCTTTGAGAATTTCTAAATTCATTTGTTTACAATTCAATTTTAGAGAAATTTCGATTATTCGAAATTCTTCAATCGAATATATATTAGACAATAAAAGTATCAAATAACTTCAAAAAAATTCAATTAAACTTTTTTTAAACGACTATTTATTAGTAACATCTGTTAATTCAAAAGCAAAAAGTCAGTCACTAATTCAAATTAGAAACCATTTTTACTAATTCAAATTTAGAGTTTAATATTCAATTATTATATAAAATTTTAACTGAAATTCATATTTGAATCAATTATTATTAAAATATTCTACGAGAATTCAATTGTTTAAATACAAAAAAAGTAATTTACACACTAAAAAAAAAGTTTTACTTTTAGCCTGTTTTCGAGGCTGAATTTAAGGTGTAAACGGAGTCAGCCCCATTAAACAAGGACAGACTTATGTGAAATACATGGGCTGAATTTAAGGTGTAAACGGAGTCAGACTTTTTTTTTCCTGTGTACTGAATGTTTTTTAAAATTGAACTCTCATAAAGAATTTCATCAACAAATTTTTTAATAGGTAATTAAAAATCTTTTGACGAATAATTTTTTAATTTTCGAGAAATTATATAAAAATTGTATTAAAAATAATTGAATCTCTGCGTAAAAAATTTTGATTGAATTGAAAAAAGTTTTGGAAAATAATTGAAATTTTGCCAAGAATTTTATTAAAATTTTTGAAAATAATTGAATTTTGGAGAAAAATTTTATTATTTATAAAGATAATTGAAATTCTAAAGAGAATTTTGTTGTTTAACTTTTGATCATAATTGAATTTCTGCGAAGAATTCTATTTATTTCGAAAATAATTGAATTCTTGAGTCGAATTTTATTAAAATTTATTTTTAAACAATTGAATTCTTCTGTAAAATTTTTGTTGAAATAGTAGAGATTGAAAATAATTGATTTTTTATAAATTATTTATTGAAATTAATTAAATTTCTACGAAACATTTTATTAAAATTATTTTGAAGAAAAATTGAATTGTTATAAGAAGAATTTCATTAAAATTTTTCGAAAATAATTTAATTTTTTCAAGAAATTGAATTTCTTTGTTGAATTTTAATAAAATTTTTAAGAATAATTATATTTTCGGAGAAATTCCTTTAAAATTGTATTTAAAAATAATTGAAATTCTGCGATGAGTTTTATTATTTATGAATATAATTGAATCCTAGGCTGGGGCACCTTAGGCCCCTCTACCCTACAATTTTCAACTAAACTTAATTTCTAAATCAAGTATTTTAAATAATGATTATTATTTAGGGTCAGGGGAAAAGTCTAGAAATAAAGGAAAAACAAAATTAAATTTTTGTGGCAACCCTGCTTTTTTTTATTCTCACCTTATTATAGCCACTCCTGTTACAAGAAACTATATTTACTCTTGTTAAACTTGTGTACAGCGTGGAGTAAAAAATCTTTCCAGAAAGTTGGTATTGCCTCTGGCGTTTTCCAAGTTGGAGAACGTCACGCCTAATAATTATTTGTAGCTGTAATGAAGAGAGACGATCCTTGCAAGATAGTGAGAGTGAGAGAGCAACGAAGTTAGGTCGGAAGCACCAACATCTATAAGCAGTTTGTCTACAGAGCTACAAAGCGAGCTACAAAGTTGATGGTTTGAATTTAGAGTTGTAATTAGATGAACTCAATTAGCCAATGTTTTTTGGATGATATAACAGAATCATAACTGATCGTCCATATCACAATCGATGAAAATATAAATCACCAGCTCCTTATCATTTTTTATCAATCTCCTAACGAACGTTTAAAATTAATCGATCAATCTTGTGCATTATTCAAGAATTGAGGAGGACCATGTTGACAAAGGATGTTACGGATCGTGTTTATGAAAGCGACTGAGTTTGCAACTAGCGTTGGTTTGTAAACTACCTTGATCCGTTCGCTTCCAGCAAATAGTGACTTAGGTTTGGTATTCCCTGTTTACAAAGGTTTTAATCCCCTATTGTGGCTAGTAGAAGACACCAGTTTTAACGAATAATTGGGATAAAGGTCAGGAATGTTAAGTGACTCATGAATTTAAATCCACTGGATGAAAGGTGTTTGCAGTATTATTTAGATTATTAGGATACCAGTCGTGTTCGCAATTTACCGTACGACAATGCCGCAGTGGTAAAGAGAAGGAAATATTTATCAATGTTCCAGACTGTAGGTCTTCTCTTCCAGGGAATTTTCATAGTTTGTTGGGTTTGACAGTATTAGTGTTACGTTGTGAGTGTCGGTTAAAATTTAAAGAGGATCATTTTTAAGTTATGAGCAAGCTTATCCTACAATGCTAAACAATTAAAAAATAAATTTTAATTAACATAAATCTATCATTAACGATTATAGGTCAAAAGTTCCAAACCAAATGTTCGGAAAGTTTCAAAATGAATAAGTTCCAAAATACTACAGTACTTTTAACAAAAATCCCTGACATTTCCCTGATTTCCGTGCCCCGATTCCCTGATCTGTGGCCACTCTGAAAAGGGTCGGTGTCAGTAAAAAAAGGGATTAACTTTCCAAAAAAAGTTTTATGCCGCAGATATAACTAAAAGTAAGTAAATATTTTCAAGTCAATATTTGAACAGTTAAATGTAAACTTTCTCCCTTATATTTAAAGAGAGTCAGTTTATTAATTAAAATTTTTGGTCCGAATAAAAGTTCCATGTTGACCATTATAATCGATGATGTACAGTATGCAAAAGCAAATAACATTGCACACATGACCCCCTAGAGCCAGTTAGAGTTTGCCCTGGAAACTAGTGTGACGTTTCTCTACCCGTATTCTATTCCCTTTCCACATGAGCCTGGTCTAGTCGGCTTAATTTATTTTGTGGCTTGAAGTTGCCTTCGCTATGAAGTCTAACTTGTTTAACCGCCCGCCATGACGTGAGAGAGGGAGTTTAACAGTTTTCAACAGCGAACTTCTCGTGCTAGTATGGCTGGTTTTGCAAAGTGGTTTCACTGTAGAAGTTAGCGGTTGGAGGTTCAAAATGAAATTGACCAACCTCCACTCGTAGAGTGTGTGTGGACATTTCAACAATTCTTTCTGTCGCTATGCACTTTTTTTCATCCCTCGCACCCAACGACTCAATTTCATTTTAGCACACACAATTCATATAATGAAATGAAAAAGGATGATTTCGGATTTTTTTCTTTTTGGCGAATTGTAAATTTTCCCAAAAGAGGACAAGAGTCTGGTAATTTATCTAACAGCTATTCTTGATATAGGACCAAATTTTAGACACTAATTTTAACTTTTAAATTTTTCAAATTTTGTTGAATTCATTCAGAATTTTTTTATAAATTCTAAAAATTTAATATTTTCCAGTTGGTCTTAATAAAAATTCCTGACTTTTCCCTTGGCCTGTGGCAATCCTAATTAATTAGTCTGAAATACTTTTAGTTACTCCAAGAGACTCTACTCTATTTTCATTGTTCATTATAATTTTTTTGGGGACGATTTAAAACACTGCTGAGCTTTTTTTGACGATTTTCTTTATATGACAATGAATGATGGGAAGAAAATGGCAGAAGTGGAGAAACTCGCCTTAAACTTTAAGCACGTAGGTACGGCGAGACATTTCTAGGAAACCCATAGAATTGCCATTACGTTTCTGAAACCCAAACCCCTTGAGCGAGACTCCATCTCGTTACTCGATTCGTAAATAAAAGAATGTTCAGGTACTGCGGAACTGGAACGAG